GTGTGTGTGTGTGTGTGTGTGTGTGTGTGTGTGTTCAGGCACTTTGACAAAGTAAAGAGTGGATTAAACAAAGTTTTCCTCTTTCTAACATCCAGTTGACCCATTGAAACCCACACACGTGGAAATCATGTGTTTTACTTAAAATAATTGAAAAGGTTAGGGGCACGCTGAACTCTTCTGTCTCTGAACTCTGTGATGGAATTACCTCTTCAGGTTCTGCAGAGGCCTGTCTATCACACAGGGACACCTCCGAGGAGGTCTAACGTCGTGTCAGTTTATGTTTTTTTGTGTTTCAGGTTTATTTGTATTAATCAGACTCCTCAGCCCGTCCTGCCACGCCCACTTCTACCAGTTCACCTGCCACAGCTGCAGCCACTCATCCTCATCGGCCCCGGCCTGTTTGTTTGTTTGTCTGCGTTTATCTTCAGCTGATTCTGGCTCTCCCCGTGGTTCATACGACTCCTCCTGAGTTTGTAAGTGAGCTTTGTTGCTACGTTTGTTTATTTTTTTTAAATCAAATAAGTTTATTATTTGAGCTCCTTCCATCACTTTACATTCTGGGTACAAAGCGAGACAAAACTTTTGAGTTATGCTAAACACTAAACAAAAGATTTTTTTGGTTGAATTACTGTAAACTTTAATGGCCTGGGTTCAAATCTACATGTTTGCGTTTGTCGTTATGGCCCACTTCCTGGAACCCAGAGACCTGGGGTCAGACTCAGGCCGATCTGACGTCATCTTCTGTTTCAGATGCTCTTTTTTTATATAGAGCAGAGCTATTCAACTAAATTACTCCGAGGGCCACAGTTACTGCAGGTCAACAGCTTAGGAGCCGAACGTCCAGCAATTAAAGTTATTATGTAAATAAACCAAATATTACAAAGATCTGTTACCTTTGAAATTGTTTATTTTGCTGCATTTAATCATGAATACAACATACAGAACCCTGTATAATAAACTAGTGATAATAAAACAAAAATAACAATTTATGCCTCATATTTAACACAAATATTATTTTGAAATCTGACTTGCCAAATTTGTAAATTTGTAAATTTAGTTATTTTCACTTTTATAGTGTTATCCTGCTTGTAGTTTTCACTGTCTTGAGTGTGCATAGAAATGTTTTTTTCCAGCTTCTAGCCAAGATTTTATCATTTCTGTAGATACCAAACATGTCTATGCTTAAAATAGAGTAATTAAAGTAGAAATCAGGGGGTTTGGGGTTGAGATGAATGAACCAATTGGGGGCCGAACTTTGATCACTTGTGGGTCGGATGTGGCCCGCTGGCCACCAGTTGAATAGCCCTGATATAGAGAAAGAAGAGAAGTACCAGCAGCTTGATATTTCTGAGATTTACTCTGAAAGAGTTACATTATGACCTGAAATGACAGAAACACTTGATCTTGTATTTCTTTATATTCTTTTTGCAAACCGATCCTGTTCTACATGGTTTCATTCTTTTATTAAAGCGTCTTCTGTTCTGAGTACAAACAGGTTTTTATCATTTTAACAGTTTTGGTTCAGTGAGAACAGGTCCCTCAGTAGGTCTCACACTCGGTGTCCTGCGTGGAGCAGGTGGTGCAGTGGCAGTGCAGGGCCACAGGGTAGTGGTACAGAGGAGAGACGTTGGGCTGGCAGCCCGGCAGGCGGGCCGTCGCCTGTCGCGTCCGGCTGTAGGTGCAGACGCGGTGGTGTCGGTGGACGTACGGCGGCTCGGGGACGGGCTTCTGTGGAGAGTTACGAACACAAACTGAAAACCTGAGAGGGGCTGCAGCAGTGAATATCTAACCTGTTGTAGATAGCTCATCGTGTGTTTTTTTTTTTACCTCCCAGGTGTGGCAGCGCCCCCAGCAGGCCTCCGTGGTGACGTGCAGCCCCTTGCAGCCGGGCTTCGAGGCCACAAAGGAGAACTCCCGGACTGCGCAGCCTCGGAAACTGTGGAGCGGCGTTGTCACAGACACGCACATCACAGCTGCCCCGGCAACGAGGAGGAGGAAGGAGAGCGTATGGAACAGCATGCTGGGTAGGATAACACACAAAAAGAGACAAAAAGATTTATTTTTATCAATAATCATCAGAATAACCTAAAAGTTTAATTTGGCTTTTAAACATTGAGAAATGTTGAAGTTCAATGAAATGTAACTCATACCGCCATCTAGTGGTGTGTAGTTGTTATGGCAGCTAAAAACTTTCACACCACAAAATCCACAATCAGAACATTCAAACATAAAATCTGTTTTAATCTGACTCAGGAGTGAGATTTAATCTTCATCCAAATCTGCGCCAGATGACTAAATAAAGTTGCTGAATCCGTCAGCGTAACACAGAGAAATGACTCAACAGTTACAGATGGTACTAAAAGTCCCGTCGAGGATCTGAGGACTCCCAGAGTGAAGCCAAGTTTAAATTATTTTGTTTTTAAAGAAGAGTTCTCTCACCTTGTTCTGAAGAAGCTGCAGAGGTCTGAGCGGTTGTTTCTCTGCTCAGCGAATGGAACCAAAGTGTCTCTGTTGCTGTTTTTAGAGGTCCGTTCAGGTGGACGGACACTCTGACATCATCCCAATTACAATTAAAAAAACATTAGAGACCTCAAGTCAGAAATAATAGACTTCCTGGAAACACTTGAGCTGTCTCTGTTTTTTTTAACCTCAGCCTGTGTGTGTGTGTGTGTGTGTGTGTGTGTGTGTGTGTGTGTGTGTGTGTGTGTGTGTGTGTGTGT